ATCATTGTTTTTCACTTACCAACAATGAACTTATGATCAGAGTTCTGCAAGGCTTTTCAAAAATGCCCTGTAGGATCATTACAGACCCCATGTGCATGTGTTTATCTGTGTTTGTGTGTGTGCATGTTTGATGCCAATGAGGCCGGCAGTGCAGCAGTGTGTCCGTGGCTCATCTCGGTGCTCTGTGGCGCAGCCAGGATGAGTGGGGAGGTTAAATGGGGCGTCATCAATCTCAATGAAGTGCAATTATTTTCTCACTTATTAATCATTGCAGGCTAATAGCTAGTGGCAAAGCTGGGTCCGCCATTTGTCAAACTTAGCAGATTTCTGTAATTTTGTTTCCCCGTTTCCCTCTAATGTTTGTGTAGACTTTGGCAGATATCTATGGTGGGCTGCAATAAGTCTGTGCCTCCAAGTATCTATCTCCTACCTGCACCGCAGAACTAACAGAACTTCTCGCTGTTTCTCCGTGTGAGTGATTCTCTCCATTTCAGAGCTGAGTGACTATTTCATGGTCTGTGGCAGAGCAGAATGAAAAGCTTTATTTGCAGGGTGCAGCATGGACAGCCTATTGATGGTTAAATACACTGAAACCCTCACAAAGTTAACCCACTACTCCATACTCTGAGTTGTTTGTATGTAATTCTAGTATAATTTGTGCACACAGTTACGATTTATAAGAAAGAACCAAAACGTTTTTCAGACTGAGCAATGTAATGCAACAGCACTGCAATACCTGACATGAGAAAGCACTTTTTGTTATCAGGATCATGTTGGAACAATGAATAATCAAGTCATGATTAAACAGCAACTTAATTCATTTGCACTCATTGCATGGCTGTTATACACACATGGATTTTCTTTAACACCTAAGTTACATATGTACAGTATGGCAGATTTAACCATATGGATAATCACCTTTATTGGCCAAGTATTTTACACACAAGGAATTTATTTCCAGTACAGAACCGAGGCAGCCATCTGCGGCGCCAACCATCAGGGGGGTTCAGTGTGGACTGCAGGCACCGAGATTCGGACCTTCAACCTTCCGGTTGGGAGATGACTGCTCTGCCCACCGCACCACTGTCGCCCCCATATGGAGAGTTTTAGCACATTTCAGCTAATTATTTTGGATTTACAGCCAGGTCAGTTGATGCTACTTACCAAACACGGTACAGTAGACCAAATTAGAGAACAGTTGGTGAACACAGTGGAGTATTTAGCAGCTAAACAACCAGATATCTATCTCAAGAGTGATAGAGACCAAATCAAAGCTAAAATCAGAATGAATATTGGGTTTACATGCACCAGTGGCCAGAAACATGACTCCAATTAAATGTTAATGTGGCTTGGTGTCTAGAGGATGTAGAAAGAAACAACTTTTTGCTAAAGCATTTAACATGAATGAGGCAACAATATTTTCAGTGTTGTGCTTGTACCTTATTCTGTTACCCTCCAGTGGCCAAAAGAATCAATTAATACTGCTTTATAAAGGTAGAAGGAACCCAAAGTAAAAACGAACCCAAATACCTACCTAAAAAAATCTAAAATATCAATGTACTATTCAATTTCACCTCTGTTTTTGAGCAAAAACATCTAAAATGACATAGCCAAATTAAAACTGCTGAAACTCCTCAACCACGCTGACTAGCCTATGAATAATAATTATTATTATAATGATGAATAGCATGTTCAACTTGAATTTTATCTTAACATTCTGCGTGATATACTGCGCAAATCCTAATAAGCAAGCAGCAACACTGTGATGAAAACTAGCATTAGTCAGACGCTAACAAGCTAACCAGAAGAAAACTTTGCTGTGCCGGTGTTAGCCGTATGTATAAATACACAAACAACACTGAGCATGAAAAGAGTACAGCTTTACAACATGTTTGTGGGGATATATCAAAACAAACCAATTTGGTAGTTGAACTTTACCTGTTTCCGCTTATGCTAGGACCCGGCTAACATCCCAAAGTACCCGCCATTTTCCTTTTTTGTTACTGGGTCAAACAATCCGTCAAAAAGATTGAAGTTCTGGTTCGCGGCAGTTATAAAGGTTTTTGACATGGCGAGTTAGACGTCTCTTGTAAAAACTACATTTAAAATACATTTAAATTTATGTTATTTCTGTAAGCAGGACGTTTTGCCACTACATTACATTGTTTTCACGATACTCTTTCATCGAAATTTTGAATTTTGGTATTTCATACAGGATATTAATCTTTTGTATTTGGGGGTTGGCCTGGGGAATTTGGCGCTGCTGGAATCCACCAATCAGAAGCAGGACGTAAAGACAGCTGATCACATGACCGAAGTTCTATTCTGATGACTCCTGTGCTATCGCCCTGACAGCGTACTGGGGAAGTAATCATCTGTTCACTAAGATAAAGCGGCTACATATTCTACTTTTATACAACTTATGTACTTGTACATTATTGTACGTTAACAGCTACAGCTTCTTTACTTCGTCTGAGAGGCAAACCGTGTACTTTTTACTCTGCTACATTTATTTGCCACTTTCTGATCAGACCAAACCTGAGCACAATAAAGTATTAAAAGATAAGAATGGCGTCTTTTTATATTTTTCTGACTCAACAAATCCCATGAAAAAAACAACAACTGTTTTGTCTGATTCCCAGTATTATCTGATCTCCCTGCCATGTCTCTGGCAATCAACCAGAAGCCCAGTGGATCCAATAAAGTAAAAACGCGTCACAAATATCTTTACAAATATTTTTTCTAAGTTTTTTCAGCTTACTATGACCTGGATGACTGAGAATCTGCACAGACATGTCACAGATATGTGGTAGCCTACTTCCACTCCTTGTTACTCGTTACTTTATGGATTGATATCTTATGTACAAACCACATCAGCTCCACCTCAACAAGCTTCAACTTTAAAATGTTGCCTACACATTAATGCATTTGAATTAACACACCAATATTATAATGGAGAATAATACAATTTCAGTCTTTAAGTAAATAATCTGGATACTTCTTGTACATCTGGAAATTATGGCCAGAATAATAGAAATCAGACCCTGGGTTTCAAAAATGTTTCCATTAATTCAAGCATAGATCTTAGCAAGGAACATGTCAGTATTGTGTTCATTCTCTTTTATCTTAAATATGGGCAGCTCTCGGTCACAGCATCAGGATAAACTTATTTTCATGCAGCCAGAAACTATAAGGTTCGTCTGCAGGATGCAAAGGCTCAGCAGCTGCAGCAGCTCTGTGTGCCAGTCTGCCAGATGTGTTGACTGCAAGAGACAACACAACTGTTAGTGTTTATTTTTCTACTTTTTTGGTTTCCTGTTGTTTTAATTGTTTGTTATTAATGTGGTAAATGGACATTTATTTATTATAATACTATAATTTATCTAGGTTATGTGTATGTGTCAGTGGTCTGTGCATTTGTGTATGTTTATGAGTGAGAGAAAAAATAACAAAAGAAATGAGTGATTTAAAAGCACATATTCATTCAGTCTTTATTATATATAATGATTCACAACAATGTATGATCATCATCATCATCATCACACTTAATTTCAGTGTGAATGAGCGACATGATAATGTATAAATGATGAGGAACAGACAGATGTGTGTAAAGACAGAAATACCACAGCTCTGTGGATGTGTTTAGTTTGCCAGTTTTTCACACTGAGAGCTGTTGGCTCTGAGTGATGCTGATTTAAACAGATCTTCAGTGAATATGTGGTCAGTGTAGGACCTCTAGTGGCAGAAATGGGGAAAGACCCTCTGCTGAAAATATCTATTTACTGTACCTGATCTATCAACTTGCCTCACTTTCATATTGTACAAACCTTTTTATGATCTCTACATTTCAGAATCAGCTTTATTGGCCAGGTGTGTCGGACACACGAGGAATTTTACTAGGGTACGTTGGCTCTCAGTGTGCATGTACATATCCCCATGCAAGGGGCAAGTAAACAGTAAACCAACATAAGGCTAGTATAACATAATAAGCAGTATTAACAGCAACAAACAGTGCAAACAATGCAAAATAAGCAGTATAAACAGGCTTAAGAACAGTTATTATTCGTGTGAACAGCTGTGGCATCTTTCAATTTCCAAAGATTGTTCATGTTTCTATATGTGGAGTCAAGCGCATGTAGCCGAAAATCAACAGTCAGCTCACATAGAGTAAAATGCCCACAAAAGGTATAAGAGGCAAAAATAATTTATGTAGCATGTACGATTTGTTTGTTTATATTCCATGTAAAAAGGTGAGAAAATGTTAAATGTGAATAAAGCTGGACCTGAAGAGCAGTTATATTTCTACACAAATGTTGACTAAAATCTGTAGTCCAGAAGGAGGAACCCACTCTGTCTTCATAAGATCCATAAATATCCGCGGAACATTTGTATGATTAATAGAAAATATCACTGTTCTAATTATTTACTCATGTACTGACCTGCGATATCAAATTCTTGCCACAAGAGGCCCTCCTCATGACAGAAAAGGAACAAACTACCAGCTACAACAGGTGGCGAGGTAAAACAGAGCTGCGCTTTCTACCTGAACTGCTTAAATCAGGTCGGCGTGAAGCGAATTCTAACGTTAGTCAAAGCCAGATCTCCCAGTCTTGCTTTTGTGTCCTGGATGGCAGCTCAACCTGTTGCCTCAAACCTTTCACAACTGTGTCACTGTCACAGTGCAAATTTACTTTGTCATTCATTTGAATCACACAAGATTAATGGATGAGGTAATGCAGTTAGTTTGCAACATTATGAAATGCTTCCAGCGCACAGACCCGAACATGCTGCGGTCCTTTAGGAGATTAATGTCTTTCAATTTCCGAATAAGTCATATCAGCTGATAAACTGGTGACCTATCATTTTTATTGCCTGGACGAAAGGAAGTCTCGCCGTTGCAAATGAAATATTGCTGAGAGAGAGTTCTTGTTTTCAGTGAACTGCTCCTTTCCTGAAATTACACGACTCCACATATGGTCATCCTGTCTCCGCCCAGCAGAGTCTCACTGTCTTCTCTCCGCCCAGTGCGTGTGTTTGGACTGGATGATAACAGTGGAAAATGGGCTGGGTCTGTCTGCACATGAAAGCTCTCTCGACGCGTGCACGGCGTACTTTCTCTCGTGAGAAATGACAAGTTGTTGTACCGACATTCTGCGCTCAATTTGGACTCAGTGTGGTATTTCTGATTCCTGTGTTGTTGCTGCTCTGACATCGGCCCTGTTGCTCAACTTTGGGAAGAAGGTGTATTTGTTGTGAGAACAGGGAAGGAATGCGCGGATGTGGTGGCTTTTCCTCTGGTGTTTTTCTTCTCGGAACAGTGTCGTGACTCCAATCAATCGGTGTTCATCAGCGTTACCTGGTGTTTGTCTAAGCGTGCAATCGACTGCAAACATGCAGCATGACGTGGAGCTGCACCTCTGCATGTACCATACTGTGTACCTGTGTTGAAACGGAGCGAGGTTGCACGTCGTACCTGTGCAGAGGCTCCATGGGAAACCGCCGTGCGTAACGCAGGTTCTCCATGGAGGACTGGTGGAGAAGCCGCTCATCACAAGCCACACTTTAAGACAGCGAGTGACACTTGAAACAAGATGAGTTTAGACCAGGATGCCATATCGTTACCAGTGCCTTGCTTTGCAGCTTATCCCGGCAGAGAGAGACGCAGCGGTGAAGGCACCAGCAGCGGCTTTGGGGGTAGCGGCGAATCCGGGATCCCCGCAGCCGGGACTTTCTGGCAGGACTCGATGGTCGGCAGCGGGGGGCACAGCCCGAATACCGAAAGGTGCACGATGGACGGCGGAGGCTTGCTGTCCACCGGGAAGTCGTCCAAAAGCAGACCGGTGACAGTGGCCTATGTGGTGAACATAGAGGCGGGCCAGCAGAGTAACACAGAGAACATGGCTCTGCAATGTCTGAAAGACGCCTGCGACACGGTGGGCAGCAAGCTGGACACCGTGAACTTTAGTAAACTGGACTTTGGGGAGACCACGGTGCTGGACCGCTTCTACAACGCAGGTGAGTCGAGTGGTGGAAGCCTCTAAAACCCTACCCACTAAAAAAAAACTTCCAAAATTGTCTCCAGGTAGTGAAATTCAGTACAAATGGCTGACAGGATGAGCATTTTATCAGTGATAACACATTCTTTATGTGTCTTGGTCCTAAATAGTGCCTTAATGCGCCCCATAATGATTGCAGGACAGGTTGTCTCTAAACACGACACACAACTCTGCATGTCAGGGCTGGTGCCTGCAGATCACAGCTATTTCCACAATGCACTGAACAAAGTTATTGAGCCAATGAGCAACATTTGTGATTGTTTAATTCCCCCCCCCCACACACACACACACACACAGTTTCCTGCCTTCCATTGTGAGCCTCCAGTATTGTGCCAGAGTGTCATGGGTTGATCCACGAGGCTGGACTTTCCACTGGAATCTGTGGAGAAATAAACTTGAACCCTCAGACTGAAAGCACATATCATAACATAACACTCATTTTCAATCTGTATGTGCAGTGGACTACTAATCCTACTGGAAATGTCCAGGTGCATAATAAGTAATGAAAAAAAAAAACTCTTTGAAAAGAAGATTTCACAGCAGCTGTGATGTACAGTCTGTTTAGGAGCCAGAAGCAGCAGCGTGTTTGAATTAGCACAGATGCATGTGACTGCTGCTAAAAACCAAAACGCTCCTTTAAGAACAACACCTCAACAAATGCCTGGACACATAATCAAACTTCATGGGGGTCACTGTATCAAACTGTAGGTAGCAACCCATACTTTGCATACAGTAAATAAATAAACATGAATTTCCTTTTTTTCCTGTTACGTGTAGCTTTTGTTTCAGCAGCATTTTAATGATTGTAATTCAGCAGTTATTTATGCATTACACTAAAAATAAAGCCACTGAAATCTTGTTGAAGCAATGGATAGTTGGGCACTACTCATCAGTTACCATTTATAAACAGTTTATAATCTGCAATCAGTGGCTCATTAATAAATGTTAACATGTAATTTACTACTACAGATCAGTTGTAAGACAATACAAAGAACTTTGGAGTTGCCGGGTTGCGATCAGACTTTAGTTAAATCATTAATAAGAGGTCAAGAGTTGTTGACTTTCTATTTAACCATCATGTAGTAACAGCCAAACTCTCTACAGTGGACAACTTATTAGAAAATGTAAAGTAAAAGTCACGTTTCCATTCAATGAGTCCACTTTTAACCAAGATGCTTAGACCTTCTTTAACCTATAAATTACCAGTGATGCCGACTGGGATGTAACACGCATGATAACAGCAGTGCACAATGAGAAGTACATTTTTAAAAATGATGTTTTTGCTGAGGATGTCGTGTTGATTATTTGTGCTCCTTATTTGAAATGTCAGCAAAAGATATGGTGAAAGTAAAATGAAACCAAATTTAAATATCATTCAGGTAGAGCTGAAATAATCTCATATTAGGTTTCTAATTTTAAATGTTCATATTTTACAGAAACCGCACCATATAAGGCCTTCCTAGTAAGGGCATACCGACAGTTCAGCCTGTCATAACATTGCATTATTAGTGGTACAAACACATCAGGCTCTCTTCTGTTTTGTTCAGTTGTTTTCCTCTATACTGCTGTGGAATTTTCTCATAATTCACATGGGAGGGCAGCAGCACTTTCCCAGAAACACACTGTATCTGCTCAAACACACACTGCTTCATCCTCTTCCTGTACAAGTGTGTGGCTTTAAACATTAGCTCAGAGTCAAACTGAAAGCTTGTGCATCCCTGTTCATTTGGAAACATGATATGCCAGATTAAAATACAACAAGAAATGGCTGCTAACTATTTTTACTTGTCCTCTTGACATGATATCATGGACAAAGAGGACATTTGACTGAGGGAAGGGAGTGGCTGATTGTCATGCCTTCAGGCTGTGATACTACAGAAATTTCTGGGGAAAATGTAAAGACAAACCTTTGCCAACAGTAAGGACAAAGGGTTTTTTCTTCATTAAAGCACAGCTGTTGATCACAGGCTCTGTTCCTGCAGTCAGATTTGAAATGTCCGTTCTGAGAGTCATATTGATCGGCTGTAGTTTCAACTTGTTGCTCAGTCTGTCTCACTCGCAGCACGCTGTGTTCTAGTTGGTTAGTTGGATGAGGATGTGATTTTGTAGCAGCAGTCACACTGTGGCTATTTGGTCCTAAACATTTGTCAGGGTCTTTGTTGCCAGCTGTTGGTGGAATCCAGGAACACTGTGTTGGTTTGGTGACCAAAGATTTCACCATGTTACTTTCACATTTGCGAACCTTTATCTGTGGTATTCCAAAATGACACGTTGCACAGGAGCCTTTAAAGACGTCTGAATTCACAATGATTAGTAAAAAAATGGGCACTCTTTCTCCTCCTGCTGATAATTCATTTTGGCTGCAGCAGTTGCTTCCAGTGGAGCAGACAAAAAAAGCAGCAGCTAAGATTGATGCACTAAGAAACAACTATGGTAGCTGCTGGTTCACCCCGTCATTTGACCTGATGCAGTCTGACTCATTATTATGACATTTTTAGGCTAAAGTGAACAATCCCAAAGTGGCTGAGCAAAGGTCATAGTGAGCGATAGTTACCGTTTGAACAAGGCCAGAGTGCTCCTATTGAATAAAACCTTATAATTGTGAATTGAAAAGGGGAGAAACTCCTGTTGATCAGAGTCCACATCTCAGATTATGTCAAAAAAAAAAAACATTTCACTGATCTGGTTTTGCTCTCATAAATGACAGTTTTCCAACCAGGCTGATCAACAGTCTTTGTAGGATAGGTTAATGTGATGTAATCTAATGATACTAGTTCCAGAATCCAAACAATTAAAAGTATCCTAATAACTAAGTCACAGCTAGCTGAGACCACTGGACCTAAATAACAGCTCTACACTGTGTACTGATGGCATCCAGAACACGCGCTCAGAGGTGTTTTAGCAGGCCTGTCTCCAGGTTTTAGAGAATGTTTTTCCTTGACCCATCTTGTACTTGCGACAGAGTCAGGGGGGATTTGGTTCTCAGAATCAAGGAAGCTCAGAGGCTCGGATTGATTGGCTCTGTCACTTGCAGTGCACACTGACATTCTAAGTTGACATTGGTCAGTATGTTTCAAATGACATGTAGCTTCAGTTGACATGATAATTGCAAAGCTAAGTGCTCTGAGCCACCTTCTGTATCAGCTGCAAACAGCAGCATAAGGACTGAGATATCAGTCGGGGATAGGCTAGGTAAAGATAACCCCTCTTCTGAGCACAAACCAGCTCACAAAATGTTAGAATGCCAGAGTGAATTAAGGAATGATAACAAAATGTCAAATCTTACTGCTGCACAGTGACGTGCTGGTGCCACTCTAAACGCTTTCAGATAATGCTTTCCTGTAATATTAAATAATTCATGATGAGATGTTACTAATGTTCAGAGTTTCTTCGTGAGACATAATGACCTGAAATATCCAGTTTCATACCACATTTTTGACATTGATATTTATAAAGGATCGGTTGTTTGGACTTGTGCTGTTAAACCTGTATCAGCAGGGCTGGGTGTTAGGTCATAGCTGTGGCATGCAGAGCTTTTTCTGTCTAGTTGATCATTATGTGCAATTTGCAGGGAGCACAATGGGTTTTCGAACAATCCTTGGTTCGAAAGCAGCTTTGCCTGAGTCTGAGTGTTTGCTCACCTTTTGTTTTGTGTTGAGAGCTCAATTTCACCACTCAATGCTTTCCCAGCAACACAGATACAACTCATATACTGTATTCAGGCTGTCCACTTGTGATTTTACTTTCATCGAATACTGAGAAGGCTGAGAGGTGAATCAGTAACATGTTAGAAAGGATTTTGAGAGCATGTTACCTGCTAAACGCAATGTTTTCTCTATTATTTCTAAGTGTCAACAATTAAAATTCTATCAGTGAAGCCAGTTTGAACAGGTTTGAACCCTAGAACTGAAATTAATATTTGTGGCAAAAGCAAAGAAGACATGTTTTTTCCCTGTTGAACATGGCTAAGGATGAAACTTTTTTAAATATAATGATTTTAAATTGATAATTTTGTGCAACCAACAGATGACAACCAAAAAGATATTCACTTTACACTTTACAAATCAGAGATCAGTGGAATTAGAGTTGCCAGGATTTTGTCAGTTTCTTGGGTAAGAATTTCTTTTTCAGAAAAGACGGTGACAGGAAATGACATAGCCTCTCAAGCCACTTTCACACAAAGCCAGAGTGAGGACATCGTTTCCTGTCACTGTCTTTGTTTATATGAGAAGAATAGACATGGCCAAGAAACTGATTAAAATTATATTTTTCCTGGAATGGACCGGATTATTTTTGATTCCGCATTGTTAGAAGAGTTTATGACAAGTCAGGAAATACCTTCAGAATTGGGGTGTTATGAAATGACGGTACGAGGTTAAAACAGTCAGCAAGTTTCTGTGACTCGAGTGTGTGTAATACATGAGAGTCACAGCTGGGGCTAGAACTAGAGTAGAATTCAGTAGTGTCAGTGCTTGTTCAAATTCAAGGTCAGTGTAAAAAATCTGCAAAGAAGTCATTCTGCAAGTAGGTACAGATCAAGGCAATTCAAATGAAATGATTTTTCTGCAGAAATTTAGAAAAGTTTAAAGTTAATGTGATTGTGCCTTCTGACTGAAAAATGCATGGTGCTCAGTTAACTTTCCTGAATTACGTCTGGCAGACGTATATAATTGGCTAGTGAAATTTTCAGAAGATTCTCTCTACCAGTTTCTGTATATTAAATTTGATGCAGGGTAATACTTTCTAATGTGTCTATAAAGATATGGCTTCAGTTTAACACATAGCATCTAAAGGCACAGTTGTCCGTGCCCTATAGGCAGTGGTCTGCTACATCCAGTGTCAACACAGCCGGGCATCAGCAGCTTCTCGTGGAAAACGTCTCAGGATTCACCAGCGTAAAATTGTACACTCAGGTTCCTGGCGGGGAAGCTGAACTACTCTGAAATCCCATCAGCTGTC